TGAATAGCTCCTCGATGGTCATGTTCCCCTGATACTTTTTCAAAAATTTCGAATTTTTCACCTTCAGTGAAAATTTCAGTGAATAGCTCCTCGATTGTCATGTTCTCCTGATACTTTTTCAAAAATTTCGAATTTTTCAATTTCTATACTTATACTTTTTTACTCGATGTTCTCACCGCCTGCCGACCTACAAGGTACCCATATTACCAGCTGTTGGTATTTCAGGGATCCGCATTACCGACGGCCTGTATTTCACTAGGCGCGAAATTTCTAAATTTAAAAATTTGTAATTTAAAATTTTTCGAAATTTTTGAAAAATTATCAGGGGAACATGAACGTCGAGGAGGTATTCAATTTTTAAACGATATTTCGAATGATAAGTCATTTACAAAAAGAAAATAGGTATTATTTAAAAAAAAAAATGAATTGTGCTGGGATCGAACTCAAGCTGCCCGCGTGCCAGTCAAACGCGTTGCCGATTCGACAACGCGCTCATAATAAAATCATAATTTTATTAGTACTATATCTTCAATATGTTAAATAATTTTTTTCATTTAAAAGTCTACAAGATGTGAATTATTTACGTTTGGACCTCTGCGTATGACCTTGGGTGAATCCTCCATTGTTTATAAGTTTCTAACAATTTTATTTGAAGAATTTCATTGTTATATTTTTAAATAAAAATCCTTGAACTAGGGTTTTCACATAAAAAAAGCAATCACCTAGATTGTACTGTTTTAGTATTTATATTTTCTAAACATTAATTAATTTTAATTAATATTAAAAATGTAATGAATGAGTTTGCGGATGTTATTTATCTACAATACTTTTCAATTTCATATAAAATCACAAAATATACAGAGTATAGACACGTTTTTATTCCTCTCAATAAATCCTCATTTTATCATCATCACCCACTGATGAATCCCCGAATCGATTATCGCTCGTTTCCTCTATGATATTTCCTCCAATACAATTGTAAATTTGTGATTATTTTAAAAAATGGGGTAGATAAATAGCAAAAACAGTACGTGTCAATAAAAACGAAATAAACCGAGTTAACGAATAAAAAAAGAAAAATAATCGTAAGTATAAATCTCGTCGAATTCGATTGAATAGCTACTACCGTAATTGTAACATAAAGAAAAGAGTAAAAAGAACAAATTATTTCAGTTGATATTCACAGCTGACTCCTACCAGCAACTCAAATCGCAAAAATGGAAAAAAAATCAACTTGAATATTCGATACTTCGAGTAATTAGCCAAAAGCTATGCATTTCATTACTGGAACGTAATTATTTACAATGATGATTCGCTAGTACTTAAATCAACGAATCAATAACAAGTGAATTAATCCGTATTTCCACTGTCTATTGGCTACCTATTTTTTTTTCAATCAAACTACATCGATTCTTTCGATTTCTATCGACTCCCTTCCCCTTTTCCTTCCTCTTCCCCTTCCACTTCCACTTCCCCTCATTCCCCAGTCAAAATTTTAATTAACTCCACGACTGATTATTATTTATCCCCTTTACTTTCTTATTTCAAGTCTCTTTGTCGATCGACTTATTCCCCTAGTAATTAAACGTGTAGATTTGAGGTGCAGCAGTGAAATAATTTAAAGTAATCATCAAAATTACTTTCAGTGTACTTAAATTATTTATTAGACCGCCCAGGGGAAGAGACTCAACAACTGAAAACATTCCACACATCCTGCACTCAAAAAAAAAAAAGAAAAACATTGTCAATCGTCGAATTGTCAGTAATTTTCAAAATTACTCCACCCAAAATTATTTACAGAGTTATTCCTCTGAGCAATGAGTAATTAACGTACTAGTTGTCATTTTATTTGCAATAGCACACACTTGGGGAGATATTCCTGCGGAGATCAGTCTCTTGTTATTTTCTCATTCTCATTTTTTTTTTACATTAGAAAATACCTAAGCCCGGACCATCCGTGGGCCAGCCCCCGTGCCATTTAAAATAACTCGTAATGAGTCATTAAATCTCATTAACAGTTTCACCATGGAACAACATGAATCAAGCCTCAAGCGTAATTCATCGTCATGAGTGAAAACGAGTGAAGATAATTCCACAGATTATTACCGAAAAAAAAAAAAAACAATTTCAACGCCTGTAATTACATTCACTCATTAACGCATACTCATTGTAAAATGGACAAAAGTCCGTAGGTAATAGATTTTAAACCGAGTAAAGTGTCTTTTTTCCACAACCGCATTATCCCATTCACACCGATATTAATCATAAATTAATTTTCTCAAAGAGACGACAGATTCAATACGCAACATTCAAAGCTCCAGCCTCCATTGATCCTGTGTAATTCAATGAACATCTGCCATCAAAGGATGACAAATTATTTATGACTACGAGATGAAAAGAAAAATTACAGACTTCTTGTTAAATTGCACGAAATTAAATCAAAGGGTTATATCTATTCTATACTGATCTTCAGAGGCCAATTTGATATTTCACTTTGTTCAGTAATCACAATTATCGAGAAATTGATACAATATTATTATCGATTCTGTATCTCTCGATTAATCTGCCTGTCGAGTATTTCTGTTGTATAAATTTAACGCACCAAGTCTGGGCATTTTTGTGGATCACTTCGGGGTAATTATGTTGTGTACAGTTGAAATTCTATGTAGGAAGTTGGGACGAAGCCCTCGATGGGCTGGGACATTCTCCGGACGCGTGTCCATCCGTCCCCTTGATCCAATTCTATCATGTAGAGTTCCTCTCCGTCGTACATCGGAATCGAGCCCTCGCTCGTTGCTAAAAGCACGAGATATCCATTTTATTACACAGAATTAAATCCAAATCACTCGATTACGCAAATAAATTAATGATATTAAGGCCCGGGTGGACTACCTATAGAACGTCATCTTTTGTTTAAATTTTATCTTTCTAGCCTAAAATACATAAAAATTTGGGATAAGTTTTGAGGTCACGAAAATCACTGGAGTTGGCATAAAAAAATAATGAAAAAAAAGAGGAAAAAA